CCACTAGGGTCAGTGGGCTTCCACACATAATAATGTAAGGATACACGCACAAAAATTCCTAAGATAATATTAACCAACTCCACAAAACATTTAAATACTCAGACTTTTAACCACTGTATATGTGAATTAGTCGAAGAAAACTTACATTTCTTTACAAAATTGCCTACATATTTAATTTTCATTAAAGAAGGATTGTTGCATTCTTCAAAAAGAACAAGAAGGGAATCAAGGATGCCTTCCCGAGAGAGAGGAGACATCTGCTGTTGAGTCACAAAGAGTGGCTTCCCCTGGAAAAAAAAAAAAGCAACAACAGATGGGGTCTCAGCCAATAATGAAAAGCCTCAAATCAATAACATATGTATAGAACAGATTATATACTATCCATAAAAAATCACTGCTTCAGAAATTAAACCAATAACATTTGAGACGTTTGTCTGAAACAGATCACATCATTGTGTGAACCACTAATCACTGTTACAAACGTTTTACTTTTTTCATGAAACCAAATGTCAAAAACTACTAAAAGCTCAGAGCTCAGTATTTGAGCACTTGTTCAAATGCTTCTGATTTGAGATGCCCTCTTTGCCATTGGACCACAGATTTTGGCATTTGCTTCACAGCTAGCAAAGCAACCCAAATATTTTCACAGGAAAAAATGCTGTTCTTGACCCAGTACAAGAATTGTCAAGAGAGCTGCTTAGAGTGTAGCTGGCTGCTTAATACAGCTCCTAACCATTCTCATGTTAAATGAACATGAGAAGACTGTAAAGAATACATGTCCAGGGACATTATGTTCCATCTCTAAAGTCACTCAGCATGAGGTGCTCCGTTCTAAATCTGAGAGCTGTAGTAACAGCTTTATATTAAAAAAGAAAGTCTGCTGCAATCATGTAATTTTTATGCAAATTAGGCACAGCCCTTTGGCATGGGCAACTTGCTAGAAGCTAAACAAAAGAAGATATGTTTTGGTACATTACACACAGATCAAACAACATGCACTCATCAAGTCTGATGCCAGATTCCCTTTACCTGAAAGAGCAGGTTCAGCCGTGAAGCACGGCTGGCTACAGGCTCCATGGGGCCCATCTCCATAGGACTACGAACACCGTACTTGAACTTCAACATCTTCACAGCTTACGCCACAAAGATGCATCCTAAAAAAGACAGATAGAAGGGCCATCAAATAGAAATGGTTTGCATGAATGACATTTTAAAAGAAATCTGTCAGATTTTTGTGGAAACAAGCTTAAACAAATACTAAGAAAAAAGGACTCTTTGAAATCTATTGGCATCAATGAGATTCCCAGGTCATTTTATATGGCATTTGCCAAGATACTATAGCAATGAACAACAGTTCATAATCTCACAACACATAATATTAGAAGAAATATTTGTCATTGTATTGTTTCACTTAAAATAATCTGCTTAAATTTTAACATTTCACATTTTTTATATTTAATCTCATTTTTACAGAAATTTGAGGTAGAACAAGAAAGAATAAAAAAGTGAAGAGAAAGGATTGTAGAGTTGGTAGGCAATATTCTTAAACTTGGAAGACTTGGATGCAACTCCCGGTTGCTTCATCTATTTTCTGCATGAGCCCTGTGCGCCTCAGTTCCCCATCACTGCACTAATCAGCATGCTATGAAAGTCAATACATTAAAGACTGTCAGGAGCTCAGATACTACAGCAATGAGTGCTGCGTAGGTACTTAAGACAGACAGAACAATGAATTGACCAAAGCCACAGAAAGAGTTCATGACAGAACCCTTCTGCATTTAATGGTAAAGCCAATGTAACTCTTTTTCTCTTTCCATTACCATTTCTCGTGTAGCAGGCAAACCAAGTTATGCTCAGGCTCTTAGCATAACTTTAAGCCTTCCTGGGACTAAGCAATTAAATTGTAGAATGCCCTGTAAGACACTGGGAAAAGCGAGTGCTGTGCTTAGTACGGTGGGTTAACCAGGTACAGTAGTTTCCCTAAAAGGAAAAGAAACCAAAAACAGAATAGGATTGGAGTATCCTATCTAAAAAGATGAGGTAAGAAACTTAAGGATTGGACAATCTGAGGTGAGAAAGTTACGAAGTAGCAGAGAAACAGAGAGAAAGTGTGTGTTTTGTGTTACCCTCCTGGGGAGACAGGAACAACAATGGGGATTCTAGAAACTAACATCCCACACACACAGCAGAGGACCTGAAGCTGGTGCCACTGAAGGTCGCTGTTGTAACGTCTGAAGAAACCACCTACCAAGTCATATTACAGGGAGGAAACTTGTAATAAAGTATAGGGATTACTATTAAAGTTCACTTGATACCAAATCAGACAAGGGGCCATGTCAATCCTTGGGGGTCTCTGGTAAAAGGAATCCTAGGGGCAACTCTTATACAATTTACAATGCATGTTATGAACCCAAGTGCTACAGTAAAACAGGAGAATCAGAAAGAGCCACATATTTTTTTTTTAAAAGTCAAGTAATAGTTATTTTCATTATACAAAAGTTACAAAATATAAACAAAGTCAGTGGTGGTAATTAAAGAAGACAAGATAGATTTGCAAGTCATAAACTAACTAAATTAAAGCGGTATAGCAAGATCTGAGGTCTTTCATGAGCCTGAGGTCACTTCATCAGATGCTGCCAAAGGATAAGCACAGAGCAACAAATCAATTAGTGAGCGAGGTAAACTAAAGAGCGATGATGTAGGCAAGATGGCCTAGGACAGGCCAACTCTTTTGGCCGGAAGGTCACTTAGACAGTTTTAATGAGCTACTGCAGGCTGAGTCAGCACCCCCCCTCCCGCAACAGCTCACCAAAACTCCTTAAGTAGCCCCTGTGCACAGCCAGGCAGCTGGGGTGGAGCCACAACTGGGTGGGGAGCAGCAACCTGGAATGGGACGAGTGGGTGCGGCCATGAGGCCGGGGCCCAAGGCAGAGCCATGATCTACTCCCCGCATGTTTCCACAACTGGCCTTGATTCTGCAGGAAGGGGCATGCAAGGAGCAGATCACAGCTCTGCCCCAAGCCCCAGCCTCATGCTGGCAGCATTTAGCAATCCCAGGATCTCCATGAAGACCAGCCAGTACCTGCATGGGCAGAGTGCACAGCCAGGCAGAAAGAATGGGGCCATAGGTGGGCAGGGAGCTGCATCTGGGAGCAGGCCAGGTAGGCAGGCAGAGCCAGGGATTGGGACTGTGGGGCAGTGACAGCGCACAATCTGCTTCCTGCACACGCCTGCCCACAAAAGCAGCATGCATCACAGGGATGTGCAGACTGGATCATAGTGCTACCTCAGCCCCAGGCTGTCACCACCCCATGGCTCTCCACCTCCCCATGGCTTTATCCCATCTGCCTGGCCACACGCCCTGTCCATGTGGTTCCTGTCCCTTGCAGTGGGCGCAGGGTGGATGAGCCGAGGTGCCTGCGCAGCAGGGTGTGGGCCAGCAGCTGGAAGGAGCCACCACTGTGGCTGCCAGGAAACAGAGTCCAGCTGCCATGCCACCGAGCCCTGCTACATGCATCATGACCTGGGCTGCTCCCCATGCCTGGGCCAGGTGGGGCCATCATTCTTCACTATGCTGCACCAGGCTTGTACTGGTCAGACCTGGTGAAGAATGTCTTGAATTCAAAAACTGGGCTAATTCTATCCCAGCTCTGCAAGAGATGTCACCCTAAGAAACCCCGGGAGTGTGTGTGTACACCACGGATGCAGCAGGGTGGGGAGGCAAGGAAAGGGGGGTGGAGGAGGGTTCTTCAGGGACAGCAGGGCGCTGGGTGGGCAGCAGGGCTGGGAAGGCTGTGGCTTTGGAGTGAGGAGCACAAAGGGGGGCAGGGGGCTGCAGGCCAGGAGCACGGGGCACAAACAGGGCCAGGGAGCTGCGGGCCGGGAATGAAGGGCACCAGCATGGTCTGGGGGGAGAGGAACTGTGGGTCAGGAGCGCGGGGCTGCAGCAGGGCTGGGGACTGTGACTTAGGAGTGAGGGGCAAGGGCAAGGTCAGGGGCATATCACTGCCCCCCACGATCATACAACACCCCCCACCCAGCGGTGTCCTCTTTTTTAAATATGGTAACCCTAAGATGGGGGCGGGGGCGCTCTTGCAGGGGGCACCCGCACCCCCTCCAGCGGGCAGAGAAACCGGACCAGCCGCAGTCACTCACCGCTCCGTTTTACCGCCCTCCAGGTTTGAACAGAACAAGAGGCGTTGCCCACTACATAATTTCCGGTGACGTTGGCCGAACGCCGACTCCTAGCCAATGGTCGGCGGGTGAGCTGGACGCGTCATCACCGAGTCCCCAGTATGTTCCCTATCCCCCGCCCCCAGGGCACGTTTCGGCTTCAGCCGTCGCTGCCCGCGGAGTGGGGCCTGTGTGCGTCACTGCCCGCCAACGGTCCTAACTGCCGCGGCCTCAGCCCCCTCCCGTGGGGCGGGGCGTCCGCTCCGAGAGGCCCGGACGCCTCGGCCTGTGCCTGGGTCCGTCAGTCACTTGGGGCCGCCTCAGAAAGTGGGGTTCGCAGGGGCGCTGGGCGAGGCCCGAGGTGGGTGGCGATGGTGCTGGTACTGGACCGAGGCAGCGGTCCCAGGCTGCTGCTGCTTCACCACAGCGTCACGGCCGCCGGGGCGGGGCGGGGGGCTCCCTTGAGCGTCGCCCCGTGACCTTACGCCGCTGCCCCGAGCTCCAGCGGCTGCTCCCAGCCCCGCGGAGCCTCGTCCTTTCTGCTGAGGGTTTGTGGGCCGACTTCGCGCTAATCGCTTTCGCTCTTTGGGCTTCCACCTTGCTTGTCACAAACCCGTGGTCGTCCCCACTCCGTGAGGCTGCTGTCAGGCTACGCTTGTATCTGTTATTTGGGCCGCCCTCCATACGTACAGCCCTTTCCTGACCTGAGAGAGGCAGCTGCTGTACGTGATTCCTACCTGGCCTAACTGCTCTGCTGATCCGCTTCTTTCCCCTCCTAGAATATTTATACCACGTTATTACACCAGCCTCTTTTAATTCCTTATCGGATTCATTCCAAACTTTGTTAAAAATGTACGCAGTCTTCTGCATGTAATTGACTTGTCAACCAAGCTCTGTTTCATTTCGTTCGGCCCCAGGAACAAAGCCAGAGTGGTTAGTTCTGCTTTCCACGCACAGCCACAACATGGTGTCTGGAGTCGCCTTCCCCCGTTCCCTGTCTCCTCCTCCCCTTTCAGCTGAACCCCTGGTGCCAGCCCTATGCAAGCTCCTTTGTCTGGGTCTTGCCACTTGGCTCACTAGCAG